TGGTTAATATTTTGGGTACCACCTCAGGGAGGGCCCATGTCAGGCTGTCCACCTGTGCCAAGGAAAACGAACACAGGTTAGGACCTCGTTCTCATTCGTGTGGAAGACCACCTTTACTGCCCTCTCAAAGGTGTGGAGGGCACACCTGGGAGGCAGGGAGCCCCTCTCCCACGTGCTCTCAGGAGGCCAGGCTGATGTCCGAGTTTAAGAAATGTCGGTTTTGCTCTTGAGGAGGCCCAAAGATCCCATTTTTTATGGGAAGTGTGGAGGTCCCTACTGGACCCCAACCCTCAGCCAAGTCTGCTTGGCCAGAGGCCCTTACCCTGCGCTTGGGGGGCCCCTGTGACCCTGCTGGCTCCAAGGGAAGGGAGTTCCAGTCTGTTACCCACACTTCTGGTCCTATCAGTCCTGAGTTTACGCTTCTGTCTTCAAACTAAACTCCTCATTGTGAAAGGAGCTTCCTGAGAGACTACAACTTCCCCTATAGCTTCATCCGGTGATGGCCTGTAAAATGGACCTGGAACCCCAAAGGTGGGCCCGGCCAGCAGCCAGTCCCGATCATCCCTCTGCAGACCCACACCTTTGAGGCTCACCTGGTTCCCCCTTCCCTTCTGCCAGGGCTTGAGGACCATGCACCACCCTTCTCCCAGCTCACTGCATCGACATCGACTCCCCTACCCTCCGCAAACACCCCAGTGATGACACCTCCGTGGTCACAGCCATCCTCTGAGTCAGTTCTCACAACAACCCCCAGAGAGCAGGCGTTCCGAAGGCTGTGTGTCCCAGAGCTGGACCGGGACCCACATGTTACACAACCACCACTGTGGGTCAGCCAGAACCAACCTTTCCAAATCCCCTCCTTTTGCTGCGTCACTTGGGGGGGGCCTGTGAGGGGCCACTGCAAGCCCAGGAGAGGGCTTCTCTTCTTAGTCCCTGGCCCTTGGCCTCAGCAGGAGTGCCCTCCCACTGAAAGTCCTCCCTTGACTTGAGGTCCCTCCAGTCTAGCTTCTCTCTTCCCCTGCCCACGGACTGGGTCCACCCTCGCCTCTCGCCCCCTGGCCACGTGGCTCGCCCCCATGGCTCCAACCATCTCTCTGGGACCGACACGCATTTCCTCCCCTGCCCACTCCCAGGTTCCCAGCCGGCTGGTGGACATCTGCCCACAGTGCTCAGCACAGGGCCCTGGAGAGCACAGCTGTGAGCTTCCCCACGAGTGATCGCTGCTGGCCTCGGCCATTCATTCATTCATTCAAGCTATTTACTGGATGCTGCGCACTAGGCCCTGCTCCCAGCAGCTGCGACACAGCGCAGAACGAGGCAACCTCTGCTCGAGGGGCGTACGCGCTCGCAAGGGACGGACAAGAACTCCGGCCCAAAGGTGCATGGAAAAGGGGGGCAAAGCACGGACAGGCAGTGCTAAGGTGGTGGTGCCATTTCACGTGGGTGGTCTGGGAGGCCCCTGCTCCCGACAGTGGCAGATGCACTCCGTGTTAGTAATAAAAACCCAGGAACTTCTTAATCCTCGAAATGGAAAACACTTGCTCCTACCAGGAATGGGGGAGGGGGCTCAGCGGTTTGGAGAAACAGGGCATGTCTGGCTGAACAGCCTTTTGTTACCTTAATTTTTGAACTCCATGTTTCCTTTTTAAAACATTCAATCACTGGAATGGGAAGGAATTTAAGTCTTTTGGAAAAGGTTAATCATTTTCATGGAACTACTTCCTTGAAGGGGGCTGGTCTGCGTTTCCAACTGCAGCTTGAACGTTGCGGGTGTAGTGCCCCCGGGGCTCCGCGGCCAACGTCTGAGCACTGGCGACACGCCGGTGGACACTCGCTAACAATGACCACAGTGAGATGGGCACCTTCTCGGCAGTAGGTTAGAGGACGTGGGAGGCTGAAGACCCGGATGTTTGCTAGGAGCTGACACCCTCCCAGGTCTGTTACCCACGGGTTCATCTGCACCTTCAGGCACCGGTCACTGCTGCGCCCTCTTTGGAGAGCCATGGACAGGTGGCCACACTAAGGAAAAATCCTACCGAAGACTGGTCCACAAGGCAGGGTTTGGCCACAGCCTGGTTTTAGTCACAGTCCCCTGGTTTCTTCCCTGGGGAGGCGGAAGCCAGAGAGGGCTTCACCAGGGTGGCTCCGTGGAGGGGGCGGGGCGGGGCAGGGCTGGCTCGTACATGGCAGAGGCCTGAATAACAGGAACTTGAGAATACATGATACTGACTTCATCCTCACTGTGACAAGCACAGGGCCATGACCAGGCACAGGGGAAATGTGGGTAGTTAGGTTCACTGTATGGACTGAATGTCTCTCGCCCAGATTCACCTGTTGAAGTCTAATCCTTAGTGTGAAGGTATTAGGGGGTGGGACCTTAGGTTTGGATGAGGTCGTGGGGGATAGAACCCCCATGATGGGACCGGTACCTCTGCAGGGGAGAGAGCTTTCTCTCTCCGCCATCATCTCAGAAACAAGAAGCAGTTTCCTCATGAGACACTAAATCTGCTAGTACCTTGACCTTGACCAGCCTGCAGAACTGAGGAATGTCTATTGTTTAAGCCTCCCAGTCTACTGTACTTTTGTGTTAGTCTGAACTAAGCCAAGCTGTTGGGAACACAGCATGACAGGGTCAGCTGGGGGTGGGAGATGTGTTGTCTTTTTGTTGTTGTTAATCCTTACCGAGAATATTTTTTCCATTGATTTTTTTTTTAGGTAGAGTGGAAGGGAGGGAGGAAGGGAGGGAGGGAGAAACTTAGATGTGAGACACATTGATTGGTTGCCTCCCGCACGACCCAGGCATGTGCCCTTGACCGGGAATCAAACCCGAGATCCTTCAGTCCTCAAGCTGATGCTCTCTCTAACTGCTGAGCCAAACAGGCCAGGACAGAAATGTTATCTGGTAAACATTCCATGTAACACAAAGGCCCTGACAGCCAGACTCGACCAGAGCACCGGAGAAAGGTGTGAAGCAGAGCCTTTTCTCCACCATCCTCACTGCCTGGAGCTAGACTTGCACTCACCAGGCACTTAGAAACTGCACCCAGACAAGATTTTGGATTTTAATCAGTGGCAGTGAGCACTGATAACCCAGTATCCTGTACCACTTTAGGAAGTGCTCTGTGTAGACCGTCCAGGGCCAAGACTCCCAAATTCAGCCCCAGCCCCTATTTCATAACTGACATATCTCAGCAGCAGTATCTACCCCTCTCCAAAAACAGGCCCATAAGGATTTCCTCTTCACTTATTAAAAAAAAAAAAAGAAAGAAAGAAAGGTTATGGCTTTGCTGATAGCGGGCAAGAAAACCATCTGGATTTGCAGGTAACCTCAGGGAGTTACTGAACAATGACTGTGGCTTGTCCCAAGGGACTGAGTTTTCCAAACACAAAACCAGGCTGAAGTTGCATGCCACCTTAGAGGTGGTGTGAGGGGTCCAGCTAGGGTGCCCCCTGTGGGGAGTCTACAGGACCAGCTGTCCGGAGCAGGCAGAACATCTCCAGACTATTCCAGGGACACCAGGACATTAAACTACAAACACATCAAGAGTGACCTGGCTCTGGCTCTGTGACACTCGACACACTGAGCACTAAGGCTTTCGTCCCCTCATCACTTCGACGCAGCACGCAGAGGGCCGTCCAGCTCCGACTGTATGATGCCATCACTGGCCAGCTCAGAAAACAAGGTCTGTTTTCAATCAGTTTGTGTGACACTACTTAACCTCTGTGAGAGTGTTTCCTTATCTATAAGAAAAAAGATAAAATTGGGAGAACCTACCCTGAGCAGATAAAATAAAAAAAAAGACCTTGAAGTTAGGCAGGCTCAATTCTTAGCCCTGTGTGATCTAAAGCTGGTTACCTGACCTCTCTGAGTCTTACTTTCTTCACCTGGAAAACAGAGATGTCTGCTGTGGGGACTGTGGAAGGACCCTGCTCGAGCCACATCCCAGCAGGTGCAAAATACACGCTGGTGTCCTTCTGTTCCTATTTTACATCCAGCAAACGGGAGAGAAAGGAATATAAATGTGATGAAGTGCCTGTAAAAAACTTAAACCCTTCAAAGCGTTTTTTTGTTTTGTTTTTTTTTTGGTACATGCCCCTAGCAGGAACTGAACCTGGGACTCTCTGGTCCGCAGGCTGACTCTCCAACCACTGAGCCAAACCAGCCAGGGCCCTTCAAAGCACTGAACATCAGATATATTCGCCTACATTTCCCTGATTCGACATAGAGAATTTCTGATCAAAACGGCCCACCTCTGAGGTTGCCAGAGAGGAGCTGAAAGATGGAGGACAAGAGGCAGCTGAGCAATGGGCCTGGCCACAGGAAACATCGTCCAATGAGGGAAGAGGCTCTGGCCAGGCAGCTCATTTGGTTGGAGCATCATCCCAATGTGCCAAGGTTGTGGGTTCGATCCTGGTCAGGCACATACAAGGATCAACCAATGACTGTCTAAATTGGTGAAACATCAAATTGATGTTTTTATCTCTCTCTCTCCAAAAATCAATCAAATCAAAAAAAGAAAATCAGAGAAACAAAACAAAGAGGGAAGAGACATGGTCTGGACACCTGGCCCTGCTAGGCACCATCTTACATGGGCTCTGCGACAGCATCAGGAGGCCTGAGGAAACAGTCTGGGTCCCTGGCCAGTAGGGGCCATGATGGTGCAGTGAGCTCCCAACGTCAAGGCACCTCGACACTGTCCTGAGACCTAGTTGAGGCTGTGCAGGAGCAACAGGCACTAATCTGAGGAGCAGGTGTAGCTCTAAATTGACCATGGGAAGGACTCTGATCACAGATAAATATTTATGGGTTTCCAAAGCTAGCTCTTCGCGAACGTCACCTACAGGGAACAAGGTATGCCCATGAGCAGAGCTCAGGGAAGACCCTCACACACTGGGGAGGAGATACTGCCTGCTACCAGTCTTGGCCAGCATGCTTCCCGTGTCCCCAACCTTGCCCCAGCCCAGGCTCTCATGTCCAGAAGCTGGTACCAACGGCAGTGGGTTTCCCGTTCGGAGAAGACTCATCATTCATAACACGGCAACTGACCAGTCTACTCCTCATGAGAAGAATGTATTTTAAACCCAGAAAGTCATTACTCTGAGAAGCTGCATACATTGGCAGCTTTACCTTCTACGGACACAGGGCCTCTCCCCTTGGCAGGGTTGCCCCTGGCTGTGCTGGAGAGATGGCCGTGGGGTGGGGGTCGGGGGTGCTCTCCCGATCAGCAGGAATGTGGTGGGCATGCACCAAGCTTATGATCAGGGTTGCTTCCTGTGAGGGCAGAGCTAGGACGAAGGCAGTGGGGGTGTATTCTGCAGGAGCGGTAATCGGAAAGCTTGGCTACATGAAAGGATTCAGGGGATGACAACCTAGCAGAGCCAATAGGCCACTCTGGTTCTCGGAAGATCCTGCCCTGTCTGTCACCCACCACGTCCCAGACCTGAAGGGCCAGTCCTTTTCCAGCTATGGCACCTCCCCAGCAAAAGTAAATGCTACAGGACCTCAGACACCTCGTGGTGCTAAGGAAGAAGACTTTAGTCGGACAAGGGTCCTGAGAAGCAGGTGGGCCTCTCAAGACGGACCCCAATTCCTGGAAACGGCTGCATGTGGGAGGGAGAGCGGTAAGTGGCTCGGGCACACTGACCCCCAACTAAGGGAGCCAGGAACGCCTCACATCTGCAGCGGCACGTGTGCCAGAGACCGGCCAGGCTGCACGCGTGAGCACGGAGCATCGCAGCAGCGCCACAGGACGCCCCTCCCCGCTCCCTGCCAGCACGGGTCAGGTCTGGCTTCTCTCCTGGGCTCAGAGGGGGTTCTGGTGCGGGACTGGCTTGGCTGGTTTCGAGGACTCAGTTCAGCCTAGTCTTCAACCCTCAGACAAACTGGGACAGGTTGGGGACTTTGATGTTGAGGTCACCGATGTTGATGTTCCGAGGAATCTCCGGCAGATTGATGTTTTTCACAGCAGACACAGCACGGGCAGGGGCTGCGGAGAGGCCACCCTGAGGAGAAATGACAAGTGTGCATGAGACAAACCCTCAGTGTCACCTACTTAATGTTCAGAACAAAACAGTGAAAGAGGCCTTGAAAATGTCTAACCTGAGCCCTGGCCGGTTTTGCTCAGTGGTTAGAGCGTCGGCCTGCGGTCCCAAGAGACCCGGGTTCGGCTCCTGCTGAGGGCACGTACCTCGGTTGCAGTTTGTCCCCGGCCCTGGTTGGGTCGTGTGGGTGGCAACTACTCTATGTGTTCCTTTCATGTCGATGTTTCTCTCTCTCTCTCCCTCCCACTCTATCTAAACAAAATATCAAAAAATGTCCTCGGGTGAGGATAGAAAAGAAAAAGAAAAAAAAAAAAAGTCTAACCTGAGAACGCACACAAGGCAAGTTTCGCCTTTTTCTCCGTCCTCAAAGCTAGACAACAAAACAATCTTCAGGTGAGGTGGGGACTGTGGTAATAGGGATCCAGACCCTGAATCCCTGAAGGTTTTAGAGCCCCAACACCTCACAGTGTCTGGCCCGTGGTCAGTACTCAATACATGCTCGGGGAAATAATCTGAGATGGTTTACCCAAGTACCACTCAGTATCAGGAGCACTTTTCAGGTTACAAAACAAAGTAAAACTCTTTACTCAAGAGACTGAAGACTCGTAAACTGCAGTCATGGGGAAATTTTTAAAAGGAAAACAAATGTCATGGCTTAGGGCAGCTGCTTGCCAACTAATAATGTGAGATGGAAAAGAACAGGCTTTCGCAACATCATGTGGCACCAAGACGGGAGGAAGGGCCAGCAGGAGGTGGGTGAACGCACACACAGCCCAGGGTCTATGGTCAGCTCACCCTCCAGGCACTCGCCCGGCGTGCAGAGAAGGGGAGAAGCTGACAAGGGCTCTCAAAACCATTTCCTCCTAAGTCTGCTTCCACCCTCACCCAGCAAATCTCCATTTCTTCTGGTTTCCAACCCCCTTGCCTCTGAGTCACCCACTATTCCAAGAAGCCTCCCGGCCTGCATATTTAGAACTGCAGTTGCCACAATAGATGTGGTCTGGACAAGCTTCTTCAGCAGCGCTGCCAGTCTTCACAGAAACAAGAATCCCTGGTTTTGCAAGATCCAGTTCCATTACTCAAAGCAAGAAAGCCGTTTAAGACACTCGAGCCCTGGCCGGTTTGGCTCAGCAGTTAGAGCATCGGCCTGCGGTCCAAAGAGACCCGGGTTCGGTTCCCACTAAGGGCACGTACCTTGGTTGCAATTGGTCCCTGGCCCTGGTTGGGATGTGTGGGAGGCAGCCACTCGATGTGTCCCTTTCACGTCGATGTTTCTCTCTCTCTCCCCCCACTCTGTCTGAACAAAAAAAATGGAAAAATGTCCTCGGATGAGGATTAAAAAAAATAATAACACTCGAAAAATTGAAGTGGTAATTTGTTCTGTGATTTCCACCGTAGGTGAAGGGGAACCCCTGTAACCTCTCCTGCCTGGTAAGGCTGATGAAGTCAACAGAGAGAACCCAGGGGGACAAGATAGATTTACTGTGAGCATCTGTTCTCTGTGGGGGTGGTCTGGGGTATGTTATTTTCAAACCTAGCCCAAACTCTACTGTAGCTTTTATAAGGCTAACTGGAAATAAGGAAATTGGCAACTCTGAGGTCTGAAAAACACCAAGAGAAATGGCTGCTGGGAATTCAGACTCATCTAGCTTACAAACTAGGAAACCACAATGCAATCGGAGAAGGGGCGCTGGGCCCCTCCAGGGAACGTGTGGCTTTGAGAAGAATTACAAACCACAAATGTGGGTCATAAGTCCCCATACCTAATGTTGCTCGCCTCCCCGTGCCATCTGGCTTTTCCACGCACATTTTTTTTGTTGTTGTTAATCCTCACCCAAGGATATTTTTCCATTGATTTTTAGATAGAGTGGAAGGGAGGGAAGGAGAGAGAGAAAGAGAAATATTGATGTTGAGAGAGACACATCAATTGATTGCCTCCCACACAATCCCAACAGGGGCTGGGAATTGAACCCAGGTATGTGCCTCTGATCAGGAATCAAACCCGAGACCTTTGGTCTGCAGGCTGGCGCTCTAACCACTGAGCCAAACCGACCAGGGCTCCATGCATACTTTTTTAAAAATTCTCACCTGAGGATTTTTTTCCATTTATCTTCAGATAGAGTGGGAGTAAGGAATAGACAGAGAGAGAAACATCAATGTGAGAGAAACACATTGACTGGTTGCCCCCTGCACGCCCCAGACCGGGGCTGGGGACAAATCACAACCAAGGTACATGCTCTTGGCTGGAATTGAACCCGCAACTCTTTGGTCCGTGGGCCAACGCTCTAACTGCTGAGCCACACCAGCCAGGGCTCCATGCACACTTCTAGCCTCACTCTTACCTGGCCTTCAAATCAATGAGCTTTGATGGACTCAAGGAGGAAAGATGATGAGTTACAACATTCCTAAGGTTCCACAGCAGCACAAACCAACCCATGTGCCTGCCCACTCCCCTTTCTGCCCAGGTCCAGTAGAGCAGTGCGCTCACCTCTGATTTCTCCAGCCTGTTCTGAGCTTCAATCTGAGCCACGATTTCATTCATGTTTGTTTCCAACACCATCCCACCCATTACCACCTCCTGTAGGATGTAATGCACCTAAAGGGGAAGCAAAGAAAAAAGGGTCAGTCCACAAGGAAACCTCGTGGGTACTCCTGCAGCAGCAGGGTAGTGGGACCTGATACCGGCTCCCGATCCACAACGGACACCTAAGCCCCTGGATCATCCACCTCTCAAGTGAGACCACAGGGGTTTCCTCTATGCTTGCAGGTCATCACACGAATCTCTCCCAGGAACAGTGGAGAGGTGCCTGGCTACACTCAAGGCAGGGAGGTTGCAGCAGAGAGCACAGCTCCGAGGTCAAGCAGATCTTGACTGAAGTCTGCTCCGTTAGCTCGTGAACTTGGGGGCACTATCCTTTCAATGCTTCAGCTTCCTTCTGGGATGGTGGAGAAGACCGAACGAGATAACCTGGTGCCCGGCAAACACTAGATTCTAAACAAATACCGATGGCATTCATTACATTATCATCATCCACTGACAGATGAGTGGATAAACAAAATGTGATATATTCATACAATGGACTATACTTCAGCCTTAAAAAGGAAGAAAATCCTGACACATGTTACAACATGGATGAACCTTAACGACATTATGCTAAGGGAAATAAACCAGACAACAAAGGACAAATAGGGTATGATTCCATTTCTATGAGGTACCTAGTGGTCAAAATCACGGAGGCAGGAAGTAGAATGGTGGCCGCCAGGGGCTGGGGAAGGAAAGGAGGGGAGCTACTGTTTAATGGGTAGAGTTTCGGTTTTGCACAATGAAAAGAACCCTGGGGTCGGGATGCACACAAGTGTACATGCACACTGCTGAGCTGCACGCTGAAGATGCACACAAGTGTACATGCACACTGCTGAGCTGCACGCTGAAGATGCACACAAGTGTACATGCACACTGCTGAGCTGCACGCTGAAGATGCACACAAGTGTACATGCACACTGCTGAGCTGCACGCTGAAGATGCACACAAGTGTACATGCGCACTGCTGAGCTGCACGCTGAAGATGCACACAAGTGTACATGCACACTGCTGAGCTGCACGCTGAAGATGCACACAAGTGTACATGCGCACTGCTGAGCTGCACGCTGAAGATGCACACAAGTGTACATGCGCACTGCTGAGCTGCACGCTGAAGATGCACACAAGTGTACATGCGCACTGCTGAGCTGCACGCTGAAGATGCACACAAGTGTACATGCGCACTGCTGAGCTGCACGCTGAAGATGCACACAAGTGTACATGCACACTGCTGAGCTGCACGCTGAAGATGCACACAAGTGTACATGCGCACTGCTGAGCTGCACGCGAAGATGCACAAGTGTACTGCGCACTGCTGAGCTGCACGCTGAAGATGCACACAAGTGTACATGCGCACTGCTGAGCTGCACGCTGAAGATGCACACAAGTGTACATGCACACTGCTGAGCTGCACGCTGAAGATGCACACAAGTGTACATGCACACTGCTGAGCTGCACGCTGAAGATGCACACAAGTGTACATGCACACTGCTGAGCTGCACGCTGAAGAACGAAGATGGCACTGTAGGTTGTGTACATTTCACCATCATTAGAGAAAAATAAGTCTCTATATGATTCTTCTAGCATCAATCCCTTTGTCTAGCGAACTCTTCTTTGTGGGAGAAGTTCTACTTGTGGAGCATCCACTATGTGCTGAGCATTTTATATGTAACTTATTTTAATCTCACAACATCCACCTCAGGTAGGAAATACAACCTCCACCTTACAGATGAGAAAACAGACACACGGCAAAGTCAGTGAACCATCCCAGTGTCACATGTCTTAGCAGCAGGACCGAGCACTGAACCTAGGCTGTCTGACTCCAGAGCTCACGTTCTACCCTTTCCACCACACTTCCTCCCAATCCCAAAGTATGCCTTCCACTCTGCTCATCCTTCACCTCTTGTCCATATGCAATAGTTGTAAGACTTGCCTTTGGTGTGTCAAGGATCTTGTATGAATTCCTCTGTGCTTTATCCCCAAGGCCTGGAACAGTGCCCAGGGCAGAGCAGGCACAGTGAATGAATAAAAGGCTTTTCATAAGTCTGAGTAGCACATTCCTTGTACTTAGAAGATGGATGATAGTGTGGTGGTGGAGGCGGTACAGAGAAGGTATGAAAGGCCTAGTAAAGGACCCAGCAATTGATTTGAGCCTTGGCCGGTTTGGCTCAGCGGTTAGAGCGTCGGCCTGTGGTTTGGAGAGACCTGGGTTCGGTTCCCGCTAAGGGCATGTACCTCGGTTGCAGTTTGTCCCCGGCCCTGGTTGGGTTGTGTGGGTGGCAACCACTCGATGTGTCACTTTCACGTCAATGTTTCTCTCTCTCCCCCTCCCACTCTACCTGAACAAAATATTGAAAAATGTCCTCGAGCAAGGATTAAAAAAAAAAAAAGAAAAAAGACTTCTGATTTGAGCCCTGGCTGGTTTGGCTCAGTGGTTAGAGTGTCGGCCCACAGATCAGAGAGCCCTGAGTTCAGTTCCCGCTAAGGGCACGCACCTCGGTTGCAGTTTGTCCCTGGCCCTGGTTGGGGTCATGTGGGTAGCAACCACTTGATGTGTCTCTCTCACATCGATGTTTCTCTCCTTCTCTCTTCCTTCCTCTCTCCCTCCCACTCTATCTGAAGATAAATGCAAAAAAATGTCCTCGGGTGAGGATAAAAAAAAAAATACAGGTAAGTGAACTCACCCAGAACCCTAAACCACGAGAACTACCGCTAGCTGGGAACAAAGACTTGACACCTACCTAGCATTCTGCAAACAGCTGGTCCCTGAAAAACTCACCTATTTAAAGATGAGTTATAAAAAAAGATTTATATAAAGATGCAACAAGAAACCATTAGAAAGAGACAGGAAAGCCAAAAGGCAGGCTAACACTCCACACTGGAATAATGCTACCACAGAGTAGATAAGATTGTCATAAAATATTTTGCAAAATTAAAGGAGGAAAACTTTGAAGCAAGAGCTCAAAGCAGAAGTGCAGACAAGAGCTTACGGGAGAGACTGGGAGACAAGGTGATGATGCCTACAAGCAAAGCTCAGAAAGGCAGTGGGGCGGACGTCAGAAATGAAGGCGGAACTGCCAGGAACAGCCGGGAGAAGAGACACGGCTGAAAACAGCAAGGAGCGCCCTGGCCAGTGTGCCTCAGGTGGCTGGGCGGCATCCCCAGCACTGGAAGGTCACTGGTTCGATTCCGGGTCAGGGCACAGGCCCAGGCTGCAGGATCTCTCTTTCTCTAAAAATCAGTAAAAAACAAAACAAAACACATACCCCCGGGTGAGGATTAAAACATAGTAAGGAGCCCTGGTGGTTTTGCTCAGCGGTTAGAGCATCGGCCCTCAGACCAAAGGGTTGTGGGTTCAATTCCGATTAAGGGCACGTACCTGGGTTGCAGGTTTGATTCCCAGTCCCAGCTGGGGTCATTCAGGAGGCAGCCAATTGCTGTGTCTCTCTCACGTCGGTGTTTCTCTCTCTCTCTCTTCCTCTCTCCCTCCCACCCACTCTATCTTAAACATCATTGGAAAAATATCCTCAGGTGAGGATGAACAAAAATAAAATAATTAGTAAGGAGCAAAAAGGAGAGAAATGAAGAAAAGCAAGTAAAATGAAACAAAAAAAGTTAAAAGGAGTGGAGAGGAAACAGGAGCTACAGAAGACAGCAGAGAGACACAGCACATGCCTAAAACCAACATGGACCAAGACAAGTTCATCAAGATTCACAGAGAAAGGCTGAGGCCGTTTCTGGGATTTGAGAGGAGCTGAGAGGACGCCGTGGACCCGGGGAAACCGGCCCTCCATAGTCAGCGCCAGTCAGACCCTGCGGATAAGACCAGATTTCTGCAACATGGCAAAAAGATCAAATCGCTTAAAAGAGGGGTAAAATCTTGAAAAGTTGCACAGTGAACCTCTAGCAGAAAAAGGAGCAACGCCCACAGAACTCCCGAGGAGAGAAGGTGTGACCGGAGCACTCTACGTCCCGTGACCGCCAGTCGAGGGTACCAGAGCGGGACTACCGCTCCCATGGGTCTCTGGAGGGAGCCACAGAGGACACACTTCTGGCGGCCAAGGGTGAGTGGGAAACGGACGAGGGAAAGACGCGTGGTGAGCACTGAGTCCACGTAATAGCAGGACCAGGAATAAGAGGATTAGAGTGACAACAGAATGTTGGTGCTGTGCCTCGACAACGGGGAAAAGCTACAGCTACAAAAATTGGAAAGAAGAAGGGCAGTGGCTAGAATAACATCAACTCCCCATCCTCAATGACGGAGAGCCAGTGGATGGCACTTAAAACTGACAACTCATGTAAGACAGAAAAGTGCATTATGACTTTTATTGTGACCTCCCCCCATGTCCAAGTCCACAATAACTTGCTATAAACAATACGTTGAGAGCCACCAAACTTTTGATTTAGGGCCAAGACCTTTTCTGCTGACTATAGTTCTATGCCATCTTCCTTGCATAAAATTCACCCGTAAGACACCCTCCACAATTTCGTTTCTCTGAAGTGGAGGGAGAACTCCGACTCCAGTGAAGCAGTCAGTTCAGAATCCTTGTGGTTTACCGGAGTGCTCCACCCCTCGTCTTCTATAGTTACCTTGCCCAAACCTAATGCAACTTCATTTCCCCTTTCAGGCAACTGGCCTTTCCAAAGCATTTACTTTTGTTTTCACAGAGCAAATACTCTTTTCTCATGCATGGCTTACCTGTATATCATTAAGCAAATCATGTGATTACAATATCAGTATAACTGGCATCAACAGGTCTGAAAACATCACACTGACCTGACCTTTGGTGGGAACAGTCAGTTGTGTTGTAAATGAGCAAGGATGAGCAACTAGGGACCAGCTGCCCAGGTGCCCAGCTGCCCACGTTCCTCTGACACATCAGGGAAGACCTCTTCCACGAAATGTGGAGTGGACCATGACGGCGGGTATTATTCTCTGAGTGGAGGAAGAGGGAACTTGAGAAAGGAGGAGGTTGCCAAGCACAGGCGTGGGGAGAAGGCAGCCAAGAATCGAT